TGCGTTCCATGCGTCAAAGCCCCAAGCCAGTGAGGGAGAAGTTGGCGAAGTTTCTCATAGCTTACAGGAACACTCCACACTCCACCACCGGTGAGAGCCCAGCACAGTTACTCCTGGGAAGACCATTGCGTACTCTCCTAGATTTGGTGAAACCTAACTTAAACCGTAAGATGGTTAACCAACAACACCAGCAGAGCATTAAGGCAGCGATTGACAAGGGTAAACAGTATCGCCAGTTAGAGATTGGTGACTCAGTTATGTCACGGGATTATCGAGGGGATCTGAAGTGGCGTCCAGGGCTGATTGTTAACAAAACAGGTCCGCTGATGTATGAGGTACAGGTGGCACCGGGACTGACCTGGCGCCGACATATTGATCAGTTGAGACCAACGGCAGTTGGACACACAGTTGAAAGCACTGACGCCGACTGTAGTGTTGAAGTCAGCCAACCTGAAATGGCCAACACACCACTGACCCCAATTACATCAAGTACTCCAACCACTGAGGGCGGCACAGCTCCAGGAGGTTCCAAAAAAGATCAACCAAAGATGGTTCCTGTTTCCACACCTACGGTACCTGACCCTCCTGATGCTAAACCAGCTACAGTTAGTCCGATGGTCAAAATGCGACAACACCCTCAGAGAGTTCGCAGGGCACCACAGAGGCTTGATCTCTGAACTTTCATTTATTCTGTTCGTTTTCTTGTTTAAAGGTCGTTCTTACCTTTCGAACTGTGGTTACCGGACACTGTTGGTTTATTTTATGTTTTCCTTGAAATTGTATTTTAGGGCTTGTTTTGAAAGCTAGGGACAGATCGTTTTATGTGTGGAGGAATGTTATGGTTTTCCAGTGTGTTGTATGTTGTGTGTTACCATATATGGTTTGCTCATGCGCACGCATGAGGCTTCATTAAACAGTCTTTTACTTGCCGAACCGCCATATTGTTTGGGGTGTGTAGTTCTTTAGTAATACATGACAGTTTGTATCCTTAAAGAGTTGCTTTCTTGCTAGACACAGTCAACTGAATTTTTGCCAAAAGCTCTTAACAGTTAAAACTTTACTTTATAATGTGAACTGAACATTGCCAAATAATAATAATAATAAAGATAATCATAAAAATAATAAAAATATCAACAATGCCTCCTTGGGCAATAATTTTTTATGATGCATATAAGTACATCCTCTGATTTTCCTGGCCAATCATGGACCCACAACATGGTCAGTTGCTGTGCTGAACTCACATTCAATAAAATCATGAGTGATTAACATCATCAAACATTGCCACTTCCAAAATAACTACTCTGGGTAACTTCCTTCTTTGAAAGATGCAAATTGTTTGCACAAAATAAATGTAAATTTTTTGCTTAGTTATTATCAGAAGGTCTGTATATTCTTACATTTCACCCCTCATGTCTTCAAAAATTATGACTCACAGTAGAACTTCAGAGTACTAACTACTCCATGTATATTGATCATAGTAAGGGTGTGACATCAAAATAATTTTTTCATTAGTCAGTGTACATTCCAACCCTGTAAATTTATACTAAAACTATGAACTGCCTCATAACTTTAACGACCTTAACCACCCAAGTCTGTAAAACAATTTCCATGTAATGCACTGTTTTAATTAAATTTACGGCAATAAAATGGCCCCACTCACACCTGGTGTAATGAGAGCATATGATTTATTTATCAAATACATTTAATGTTGCTAAACGTCCACCTTGGGTTGTTCAAAGCTGGGTTAAGGTGACCCAGGGTTAGTGTGAAATTTTATTTCAGGTCTGAAAGCTTTAAAAGAAAATTCAGTTCAAATCTTTTTGCTTACAATCATTGGATGTTCTATTAATAGTGAAAATTTTTTCCTAAAAGACTTTTGATCGAAGAAATAAAGAAACTTGGATTAAAATTTAACCCTGGATTAGCTCTGATTGGCCTTTGAACAACTGGGCCCTGCTGTTCAGTAATAGATCACAATTGAAAGTGGCGCATAAGGCACAGCTGAGTGTGTCACTGATGTTCTTATTGCATTTTTAAGTGTTATATAGTCTACATGGATCAGACCCATGGCAGCATAAAATCTAATTTGTTTTCTACGTTAAGAAGGTAAATTGTTGTTCATGATGATGTCATATTTGCATCTGTCCCTTGATAGATCATAGGTATGTGTAGGAACCAATCAACGTTTGTATAGGATTCAGCTTATAATATAAATTTAATTTTCCTACATATAAGTACATAAGAATATCAGAATACTTGAAAGGATGCATGCCAAATAAAACGCTAGGTTAACCCGACTGACCGCTAGATTCTCCCTCCAAATTATAGAACATTTCCTTGAGAAACAAAGGGAGAAGTTGACGCTGCATCAAATACACTCACTGGCTCTGTTCCACTCACCCCTTCAATCAACATCCTGGTCTAACCGAGTCAAAAACTTACCAGGGAGTAAAATCGAAAAAAAGAAACAGTGGAAATGATAATAGTGAAAATTTAAGCTCAGTTTAAGCTCTACCTTAAGTTTCGCACGCTGTCTTCCAGTTTGTTGTGCTTGGTAGCGTGTGGGTTTTTATGAGCCACGGCGTTTTGCAGCCTCTGAAAACATTTTTTTACCATTCAAAAATACGAGAGCAAACACTCCTTTAAAGCCACGAAATATCAAAGGGCTTTTCACGCTCAGAGTTTGGTCTCAGAGTTTTCTCAAACGACTTTGCGGTCACGCCATGTTACATTCCGTCATTCGTTTTCAGTCTTCAACAACTTCCGCGCGGAAACGCGGGAAATCGTAGATAAGCGCGCGACAAGCCTAACATCGGCCGAAAGTGCCAATTTTCATCGTCATTTCGAGGAACTGTATTGAATCAATTTTTTTGAAAATTTGAATATGATATCTCAAAATCTCCATAAAGCCCTCGGATTTTGAATGAACCACTGAGCAATTCTTTACTGACATCAAAGAGCGGTATTGTCACGCACAAAAATGTAGCGAGGAAAGAGATTGCTTCGTGCAGAAGCCTTCAAATGCATGTAGCATAATACAAACTTCACACATGGAAAGTATTACATACTAGCATGCAGGGAGGCATTTTTCAGTAAAATGGAGGGGGATTAAAATATGTTTGCAGGGAAAATACGGCGTTTCTAGCGGGGGAAACGTGGTGTCTATTCACTGAATAAGAATAAAATTGCACTAGTAATTGATCGGGAACACGCAAGATGTGTGGCGAGGCAAAAATTGCTACTATGATTTCTCAGGAACATTTATAGCACAAAGCTATATGATTCTGGTTTGGTGGAATCGGCTCCATTATTACTATTTTCATTTCATTATTTCAGGTGTCCATTATCGTAATTACGTTGTTGAGATTGAGCCAAACCGATTGCTTGATTGAAACGAAGAAATCACAACTTCTTTATATTTCTAAACCTGTTTTGGGAAACATCTGGTTAATACTAGGCACCATCAATCACTTCAACCGCATGTTTGCAATATCAAAAATCCCATTTATGAGACGTTCAGTTTTCCTTTAATATTTTAACAGTGCAAATAGAGAATTTTCCTAAAATTAGAGAAAATCTTATTTACTTCCTCCAGCTATGTGAATTCACGTACTTTCCAAAAAGAAATTGATTTGCATGTTTGCTCTTATCTTACTAGCAGAACTTTAGGCCTAAAAACTGACAAATTAGATCATTTTCATCTACAGTTACTTCACTAAACTGTTTCTCTGGAGGATATTTCTCCAACGAATTTGAATGTAGTGTGTGGAAACGGAGGAAACATTTCTAACAAAAAGGCGAGCACAACCATCTAAAGGAGTGGCTTACAGCATTTTTAGGGGAGTGGGGTGTATCCCCTATATGCAGTGTTAACTGTATGCCGAAAACGAGAGAGAAGAAACCCTTCTTACTTAACGCTAATGAAAGAATATGTGGAGGAAAACCTTTAAAAGTAAGCAAGATGACATCAGAGTTGTCATTTTGAACATAAGAGAAAAAAACAGAAATTAATTAAACCTATGATAGGGAAAAAGAGAAAAAAATACCTCTTTCACTCTGTTGGTGATGGCTGTTATTTTTTTTTTGTGGATGCAGAAACCATATTTCCTTGAAGAAGCACCCTCCCCTTAAAAAGTACCCACCCCCTAGGCCATAACATCAAACAAGTGGAAAACTTGTTTCTATTACCACCTTATTTATAACTTTTCTAAGCTTCAAGTACAATAGAATCACTGACAAATTAATTGTTTCTCAAAAGAGGCCCCCTTGATTAAGCACCCTTCTTCCTATAAGCACCTCTACTTTTGGCCAAATATTTTAAGCCCCTAGGTGCTTACTCAAAGAACTACCTTATGCTGTCATGATCTCACTTTAATGTGAAAATACTGTTTTTTGCAAGCACTTTGTTTTTTTAGGCCAAAAGGCTATTCTACACAATTGTTCAAGACTGGCAATTAGGCCTGGGATTATGAAAGAAGTCTAGAAGGGGCGATTAAAAGCAATAGTTTTAACTATAAATTTAAATTATGTCAATTAAAAAAGACTCAGAAATTTATTTGCGAATAAGAGAGATTGGTACCTTTCTATTTCCCCTGTTGAGTAATAGCAGTTACTCTAATAATTGTCTGGTGTAATGCAATTCATGAGTTGTGACAATCTATTTGGTCAATTCTCAACCACAAAGTGAATTTCACTTGAAAAAGTCAAACTTCTTACATCTGTGTGGCTTTACATGAGAAGGGGGGGGGGGCAATTCTCCAACCTGACCTATTTGTAGACACCATCATGCACTTTACAATCCGTGAAACTCTTTGAGAGATTCATTTGAAAGGTCTACTTGAAGGTCAGATTACATTGTCAGTTATAAAGTGATCATGATTTTTGAGGAACTGGAAATATCACTGGAAAATCATAGTGGCATTTCACAGGGGAATGTGTTATTCAAAGTAAACAAGTAGGTAAGTGGGTAAACAAGTATATAAGCAGGTATGTAAGTGAGTGAGTAATTCTATTTATTAGTGCTTCAATCATTCTGGTGAATGGCACTATGCAGAAGTACAAAAATTAAAGAAGATAAAACCACATCATCTCAAATAATTACTGACCATTTTTTTTCTGTTACTCTTTTCTTGCAAGGGAACATGCTAAAGGGAGGGAATATCTTATTGGAACCCAAAATTTTCAAAAATTTACAATTTTTTTTACATTCAGAGGGTCAAATTCATGATAAACATTGCGTACCTGCTGCAATGCAACTATTATAAATACAAAATTCACCATGGAATATTAGGGGAAAATGCACCCTATGATAAAGTAGGACATCCTGTTAAAAATTCAAAAACAATTGAAATGGTGTATAATTTAACAAAACAATAACTTAGAAATCTGGATCAGAATATTCATCTTCATCATCCCATCCTGATTCCATTTTTCCTGCAGTAAAATCCACCTCTTTATCATATACAAAGCCATCATCTCCAGGTCTAAGTCTGTTCTTTTCAAAATCTTTATCCATGTCAGCTTTTCTCTTATCAAGTTCATAGTCATCCAGTTTATTCAGGTCTTCATCATGGTCAGTGTTTTTAGTTGATGGGTTTAAAAACTGCAAAGTATCAATCCCTTCCATGTTGTTCTGGATTCTTGTGAGCAGATTCTCAAGCTGAAAAGTTTAAAATAAATATTTTAGTAATGCTGTTATCATCACATAACCTGGCATGAGATAAAATGACATGACAAGATATAACCCCACAGCAAAATAAAAGTACACAACACTGTAGGCATGTTACATAGCATAACATGAAATAATATGATATAACATTGCTTACATGTACACAATGCTCTCCATTTTATGTAAAAGTATACACAAAATGTTTGTCTGTGGACTACATGGTAAAGAAGGTCATAATTAAAACTCAATTTAAAGCAAAGAAACATAGCAATGACAAACCAATGACAAAGTTCAATAACAATAAATGAATACAATGAAACCACATTATAGAAATATACCTAAACCTTTACACCCTAACATCAGTATCCATATTCTTGTCTATACTTTCCTTTGGTACTAACAATAAGGATTTGTTTAAAACACAAAGCAATAGGTGATCATTTCTTGAATTTTGACTGATGATTTTAATGAATGATTCAGTGTTACTGTAACAAGAAGTTAGATGATGGTCACACTTAAGATTTAAAGGGTTCAATAAATTGCTTATTAAGTACATTTATGGTAAATAAAATGCACTACCTGTTTGGCTGAGATGTTTTCTAAATATTTAGCATGCTTTGAGCTTTCCTTTAAATCATTCACCACTTCTGATATACTACAAGAAACAAAGATAGACATTCATCCATTATTTTCATTAATACACCCGGGTGACCATCCCTTGTGTACATAGTTAATATATAAATTGATATACCTTGTTCAATGGTTTAATATATAATACATGCTGATATTTTGTGAGTTGTATAGTCTTTCTCTGAGGCCCACAGTGGTGAGGAAAAAGACAAGCAATGATACAGAATTTATTATTCTACTCTTAGATCATTTTCTAGTTTTCAGGCTTTTAGTTTTCAAAATTTTGTACAATCTATCTGGGTACCATATGATCACACAAGGCATGCATAAAAAAAAAGAAAACAACACATTTTTTAGTGTTCTTGATGACCAAAAAAATTATTGTTGGCTTTGAAGTTTGTGGCTGAAAAGCTGAAAAACCATGTTTAATAAACAAGAAAGAAATAAAAGATAATGCAGATCAATTCTGTCTGTATTTTTAGCCTGTTCAACAGTGTATTTACCATGGCATATTTTATGCACTCCATTACCCTAAAGTGGTAAATGGCATTATATTGGAATACCAATGTCAAATGATCATTTTATTGGCTTCATTTGTATTTTCATTCAATCAACAATAATCATCACCATAATGCAAACTTAACAAACGCGACCTGAAGCTGTGGTTTATTATGGGTGATATGACTGTAAAGAATGATATGTCATCCTCTGAAATAGAGGTACTGTGCAAAAAAAGTTTTGAAGTCACTCCAATAACTAACTTGAACTTTTTTGGTTGAAAATAGAGACAGCTGTAGATATTAATATAACAACTAATGAGATGCTAATGAAGAGGAAAACTAACATAGCCAGACAGCTCTAAATAAATACCTACATTATAGGATTATTTATTTCCAGGGTTTCAAGACAGATGATGAGGCTTATTTAAACTTACTAAAAGCCAAATTGAAATCCATGGAATGTTTTCCATTTTTAAAAAGAAGGCAAAACATTAATTTGTGGAGACATAAACATGACATGATTATTCATTTTAGATACCGATCCCTTGCAGAAAATAAAACATTGTAAACAATTGCATGAAATCAAGTAATATTGAATATTTAACCATATTCACTGAGCCTGAGGCAAATAATTGTTTTGCTATTATTGCTCAGGTGCTTTTAAACTGTTATTGAAAGGTGCTTTTGTTGTGTTGTTGAAACCATTCTTTCATTCTTGTTTTGATTACTTGTATCTAGATAAGCAGCCAGTTTCCAATAGAATTTCATTTAATTCAATGTTTACCTAATTCATTTGGCAAAAACTTCATAGCTCTCTTTTGAAAAGTATTACACCAAACTTAGTGTTCTCTTCAGAATTTTATTTTCTTCTATTGCATGTATCACTACTGTGGTAACATTGACAAAACATAAAGGAGCCATTTAGCATCCTGCTAGAATCACTGTGGGTGAGGTGATTGTAGCAAGATATGTCGCAGTATAGCACTGCAGCAATTATACTAAACACCATGAGGGTCAGAATGGCCTGGTGGTCAGCCTGCTGGTAAAGGAGTGTGCCTAAGAGTGGGCCTCATGCCCTATAATCTCACCATAATATGTACACTTAGGCAAGACAGTTAACTATCATAGTGTCTTTTTCACTCAGGAGTAAAAATGTGTAATTATAAACTGTTAGGGGAACATGTGGTGGCCAATAGTTAGTGTGCTGGACTCCCATTTTAGAGGTCCTGGACCAAGACCAAGCTGTGGTCAATGAATTGTGTTCTTAAGCAAGACTCTTCAATGGCATAATTCTTTATTCCACCCAGGAGTATAATTGGGTTACAGAAACTGTCAAGGAAGCCTATCAAAATACTGGAGGGGGAGGAGATAGTACCCTGCCATAGACTAACATCTTACTCAGGGGGGTAGTAGCACTCCTGGTTGTTCCATGCTACAGAAACTGGGATTAGCTTTCACTGGATAGGGCAATTTCATTTAAGTGCGGACTTTATCATTAACTTTTTCCAAATCTCCAACTAAACCTAATAAGCTAAGATTGCATTTATTATTTTTTAAAAAGATTGTTACATGTGTTCATACACCTACATGTAGAGTCTCTTGTGTGATGTGTACAAAATGTAGCTTACATGTAGGTTGAATGAAGAGGTCCACAGTCTATTTTAGATACTTACCTTGAATCTTTACTTAACTTCCTTAATGGCATTGATCTCTTGCGTATTTTTCCTTGAACGAAAAAATTTAAGCTTTAAAACCTCAGTTGCACCCACATGCACAAACTGTTAGAGCAATGAAAAACTTGTCAGTCGCTTTTATACCATGAGGGTTCACGTCACCTTCAGATATCACAGGCGATTTATGACTGAGAACAGTAAATACAGTCGTAGCTCTTGATGTAAAAGAAAAGTAAATGTCCCATAACAGCTGATACTGTTTTTAAAATCAGTTTCTACCGTCAAGAGTTTTCAGTAAACCAAGTTACACTGAACCTTCAATGGTGCACTATACCAAATCATTTTCACTCTACACACCTGAAAGATTGACCTCATAGTAAACTACCAGCGTTGGAGGGTCGAACTTAACCCCGCACTTGCGGGGTGTGAACATCTCAAACCTATTTCAACCCTTCTGTGCCCTACACATACTCTGTTTGTTTGTCTCTTGCCGTTGTGGCTGAACCGAGCCAGCGATCTACAAATCAGCAGACATGCCAAAAACCTAAGATCGCGCATAAAATTCTGAGGTATTCGTCTGTTCATTGCCCTTGAATGAAGGCGCGTGCTCGAGGTTGTCTGGGAAACTTCCGGTCAGAAATAAACAAGACAAGTCCAGGCATGACTTTCGTAAAACTAACGCAATTTTTATGATCAGCAATAAAAACTACACATTAAAAGCTTGCATGCTAAAGGCATAAGAAACACTTTGCTAAGGGCGTTGATCTTAGTGTCAGCGCAACGTAATTAGCTGGCGCCATGCTGGTTCATTCCTGTCACGCAACATCGCTGTGAGGCGAGATTCATTGAAGTTAGTCACATCTTGAAAAAATGGCTTCAAAGAGACCAAAACTATCGCGCGCTGGCACGATGCAGCAAACAGCTGAGGTGAGTGAAAATTTTGATACAAATCTACGAATTCCGATCCTCTTACATCGATCTTAAAAATTATTTTATGTGACAGGTCTGTGTTTAAAGCTGTTGCAAGCTTACTTCGACGCGTGTTTTTTGCGCGTTTGCTTTCATGACAGACATGGGCTTTACATTACCGAGGTATTTTACTATCACTGAAATCAGCGTTCGAGTTAGTCAAGCTCCAGTATTTTTCTTTGATGCTGCGAAAAAGCGCCATTGGAGTGGACGCACTGATACACGCTATGACCCACGTATTTCCCGTACCCTGTGGTCACTGAGAATCGACTTCTGCGACCGTGTGTGCGGTTCGGCTTTTATCTATTTACTTTCCTTAACTCAGGAGGACGGAAGGGGAGGGGTGGTATCAGCAGAGATTGAGACTGAGTGGAAGAGAAACTGACGATTGTGAGCTTATCACTGCAGCTACTATGTGCCAGCTTGTAATAGGCTTCGTTTCGTGTGTGTATTCGTGTCTTAAATCTTAGGAGCAGAGGAAATCGACCCTATATTTTCAGATATGTTTAGGATCAGGTTTTTAAGTTCTTTCAGCAAGTGAATGTGCTACGCTAAGGGTAGTAAAGAAGGGGTCCTTATCCTGTTTCATGCACGAATTTAAGAAAACATCACGCGTCACGTGCAATTTAAACAGTATTTCACGAGTCACGAATTTATAAGGAAAACTACAAATCTCACCTTTCTTTGCCTTTCCTGTTTGTAAAATTCACGCATCACGAATTCATTACGGGCTTAATCACTCGTCATTCATAAACCCCTGTGTTAACCCTTTGCCACAACCCTTTACACTGTTGCCTCAGCCTGGATCATTCTCATGTCTAAAATAACTCGCTTGTTTTTCTTTGTCGTTCAATAGGAGGGCGCCGAGTTCTTGGCAAGACATGGCATTGAAAGTCCATCAGCGAAGTATAGACTTGGTGCACAAGACAATGATGATAAGAAACAAGAGGAACTGGATAATGATGACATTGAAACTACTCCTAAACGGCTCAAGAGACAGTCAACGATGGCTGAGACAGCTAAGGTAAAAGCACAGAGATGTGCGTCGCTCGCCAGCTTAGTACTGAAGATAGGGAAAATAGGGAAAATAGGAAAAAACCTTCTATTCCCGTTCAACGGGAAAATAAAGAATCCCTAGACGTATGCCATTCGCGAAATTATCTAGAATTTCATTCAAGATTCTGACTTTTACATTCTGTTGTGCTCTCTCAAAGGATTAATGTTAGTGCGCATCCAACTGACACTTGCAAGTTTCTTCTTCATGCTTAGGAAGGAGCAGTATTTCTTCAAAGAGAAGGATACTCTGCAGACTCTCCTGATAGGACCCCGGCCGATTCATCAGAAGAAGACCAAGAAACCCCAAAGGTGAAACGTGCTTCAACCATGGAGGTCACAGCAAAGGTATTTCCTGAAAAGGCTTCATGGCAATTAACCCTTTAAACCCTAAGAGTGACTAGCATCTAATTTCTCCATACAATATTATCCCTGAATCAAACATTACGGTCATGAGAATGAAGGAAAGGATTACCAATAAAAGAAGCTTTTGATCAGTTAAAAATATCTCCTTGTCAGCACCTTAGGAAATGTATAAAGAACAGTATGGAGAATATGCATGATGACATTAGGGTGAGAAGGGTTAAAATCAGAATGCGTTACGTTACTCCATACTGAATTTGCGCGGTATAAATAAATGTTATTATTACTATTATTATTATTATTATTATTATTATTATTACTACGTTGAGATAAGAATGTATGCGTGAAAGTGAGGGAAATAAAGTTCAACTACATATGTTTCGTTAATAAATGACAGGAAATGCACTGTGTTTGAATAAAAAAAAAACATGGATTTGTTACTCAGCCAGTTCGAAGGTTTTTTTTGGTAGTTAGTTGTGGCGTGACACATTCTCATTTGGACATCAGTCACATCACGAACTAATATTACATTCGCTTAACCTTTTCACTCTCACGATCTTATTATTAATTTTTCATACAATTCTAATGATGTTGCTTTGGAGAATTCGGTATTGGGAATAACATTCCTCTGGTTGATACTTTATATTAATTCAGTCTCATTACATACTTGTCTGCTTGATATTGTTTTGATATTGTAAGGAGAAATTCTGTCTTGGTTACTTATGGGAGTTGAAGAGTTAATCACACAGTTTGCACACTAGCAAGTGTCACAAGAAACTTTTACCAAATTGAGTGAAGACAAAAAAAACAAATGACAAGTTTGTTTGTTTTTCTCTGTGGTTAACAAGGTAACTTGTCTAGAAAAGTTTTTCAGAAAATTTCGTCTCCTTTATAGCTGTCCTCTGGAATGTCACGAAACGAGCTTTTTTTTTTTAGGGGAAAGGGGTGCGTGACATATCATGTAAGGGGAAAGAGGAGAAGGAGATTAAGGGAAATTTTATGCCAACGATTTTTCATTAATAACTGCATGTAAGTGAGAAGTTTTTTGCCAAAGTATCTTAAGTACGATTTTTCATAAAGAATTGCTCTTACTAAAGAAAGCTTCCCACCGTCGATGAGACTTCAACTCGCACCGTTGAAGACGTAAACGCCATATTCCCAAGCTTCAGCGTGACTCCACTATTGACGTCACCGTTAAGGTAACCCCCCTCCCTACTGAATCATCTCATAGAAGGTTCAGGAAGCCACACTTCAAAAGACTATGTCGCAAATCTTAACAGCTTTCTTAAAATTTTATCCAGGCTTCGTTTGTGTGCTGAATCATTGAGCTTTTGCAAAGTGCAAAACTACCTTCAGCTTGAAGGAAAGATGTAATAATGCCAAAGGTAGAATGTTGAGGTAGCAATTGAGCCAAGTGACTCATTTGGTCGGAGCTTAGCCCAGTTTCCTTAGCATGAAGTGACCAGGGATATTGCTATTCCCTTCTGGATGGGATGCTATTCCGTCCCAGATCACCCTCCAGCATTTCGTCAGATTTCCTTTACAGTTCACTAGTACCCATCCATACTCCTGTCTTGCTCAAGGACACAGCACTTTCACATGACCAAGTCTCAAACTCGAACCTCTCGTCCTGGAGTTCAGCGCAGTTCCTACCTTTTTATTTATTTTAATAAAAATACTGGGATCAATATTAGTATCAGGGCAACTGCCCTACCTACCCCTCCCCTAACTCGACAACAGTCAATTGACAACAAGTTAAGGTTAATGTTGGGTGAGGGAAGGGGTTGGTGGGCAGTCGCCCAGATACGCCAAGATGGAACAAGGATAGGTTAGAGCCTGAATCCGTGAGAGAAGAATTGGTGTTGGCCTATTTTTTTGTGGGTATAATGGGACTGCGGGCTCTGGGACTGGGAATTACAAAACGCATCAATGAGCATTGAGCAGGACGATTCAGACAAGTTTTTGGGTGGGGAAGGTCTCTCCCTTCCTAACAGAAGTCTCTTAAAGATGGACAGGATCAACACGCAATACAAAGGACGAATTGAAAAAAATATATATATATTAACTGCTATAATTTTCGATTTTACATGAAGTTCTATCAACTAATGTAATCTTGATTACCAGTATATTTTGGCTTTGATAGTCTTTTGTCCCTCCGATATTGTTTTTAGGAGGGCCAGGAGTTCTTGCAACGGACAGGGGAAATAAACGAAAATGAACTAGAAGAAGGTTCAGCAGACACACCATCTCGTCCCAAGCTACAACGAGACTCAACAATCGATGTAACAGTGAAGGTAAACCCTAGTTTTTACTGTGAAAAACGTTGTGATATTTTCATGATGCCTGACTTATCTAGCTGTGTGTTCGATCTGCTACCCTGCCAGAGAAAAAGTGAAGAGACTTAGCCGATAGCAGATGCCGTAGGAAATGTTAGTAATGTTTTGGGGGAGGGGCCGGAAGAGGCTCTGCTATGAATTTTTGTCGAGGATGATTCGGTGTATGGTTCAATCCGGAACTGACAGTCAATTAAATTGTGCCTAGGTCTTGGTAGTCTATGAAGGACTGTTCTCGGTGTCAGTGAGCAAAGTTTCGATTCGAATACTTGCAGTAGAGTTAGTAACTTTTGAAACTGTTCTTCCGAATGTGATAATTACTGCCGCTCAAGTTGTCAGCTGTGTGATCACTTCGTTCGATCGATTTCCCCCTGTTTCTTGAAATCCTGAGTCCCTCTTAAGTCTTAGGTGATTTTAGAATATTTTGCGCTTGTTTTACTTGTCATCTCTGTCTCTCCTTTTCTTAACTGTAAAATCTGTCCTTGAAAAGTTTTTATTTTTGACAATTATGACGTGTCAAGTTTTGGATAAAGAAGCTTTCTTGTAAAAAAAAAAAAAAAATCAAAGCAACCATTAAGACTGCGAATAAAAACTTTTGAAGGCAACGGTGCTACTTTTTAGCACTTTACGCATAAGCTAAGTCTTAATCGAGTGAAAATCTGTTTACTGTTGAACAGGAAGGAGAGGAATTCTTACGACGATCCGGGGCCCTGTCAGAGGAAGGAGGTGACGAGATATCCATCGGTAAAGACGATGAAGATGACGACGATACGAGAGCCCAGGATGAGGAAAATAATGATGAGTGCATTCCTTCACTTGTGCGTGACACGACCATGAAAGAGACAGCCAAGGTAAGGAATATTGCAAAGCAATCGATCGACTTCCATAAATAATAGTACATGTATAAAAGACGGCCAGTATACTTGTTCAGCCATTTTAAATAATTTAACCCATCCATAGTCTTATCCTTAAAAAGCAATTAATATTTAACAACTATTGGCAGAAGCGAAGGTGGCTATTGGCAGATATTTATCGAGCCGCAAACCAAACCTGCGAGGTAAAAATTCACTGCTAAAGCAATGCACCGACACTGAGATGAATAGTTTTTTTAGTATATACAAAAACAGTGAAATGATACACCACATAAAGACGATTTTCACTCATTTATTCCGACGTGTGCAATAGTTTAGGGTGCAAATCCCGTGCGAGTTGCTTGAGGTGAATAGCTAAGCATATTCGGAGTTTGAGTCAGAGCGCGCCTTCAGTGCTATTCACTGTTTTGGTATATGCTAAAAACACTAGTGCCGCACTTAAACTTCGCCTTCCCTCCTACAAGAGAATTACTCTTGTTAGTTTTAAATTGGCTTTGTCTTTTCAAAAACGACTATCATACGGTCGCTTCAACGAACAAATTTCTGATCCAATCGAATCGAGTGATAACGCGCACAAACAACCATGCAAATAAAGGCCAGAATATCCATCGATGACTCTTGAAACGTGGCTTAGCTCTGTTATTATATTTTAGATCGGCAAGCAATTTGTCAGCGAGGAGGGACGCGCTGAATTACAGTCCCAAACAGCAGTTCTTCGTGAAGCCGAACGAGAGTCTGGGACGACCAAACCTCACCGTGCGCCCCTGAAAAGAGCTGGGACTATGGACGTCACGAAAGCGGTAATTTATTCTTTTTAAAGGCGAACCGCAAGCATTCTTTAGGATGATAACAAACGCAGCGAAGGCTCAAATTAAAGGAAAAAAAAAAGGCACTCTTCTCATAACAATTTATCGCGCTGGTCTCGCCGTATTTCATTTTCTCCCTTTTCAACGAGTTATCTTTGTATCTCAATGAATGTGATGAATACATTGCAATATACATTAAAATACACTTGAAAAAGAGCGCATGGGTGAATAACTTTCAAGATATACTTGTTAACTCTCTCCTCTGGCTGCTACACATTTCTTTGTTCATTAGTTATGAGAATCTGGTGCCAGATCAAGATAACACTGAACTTCTGCCTGATAAGTTTCATTATTCTTTATACCTGTTTACTGGATAATGTATAGATAATACTGGGAGAAGTTATAGGTTAATCACTTTTGGGAGTTAAAGGGTTTAAAAGTTTATTTGAATTTCTTCCTCTTCAGGAAGGTGAAGAATTTTTGAAACGCAAGAGGACATAGGATGATCTCACTGTGCCCAAATACAAATAGTAAATAATTTTCCAAGATAACACGTAAACAAAACAAGACATTCAAACAGAAGGCTTTTTTAATCTTCCATAATTGATTAAACGACTAAATGATGTCTCTCCTTCTCTTTGTTGGAAATAAAATAACTTGGTGGTCATGCGTACTGCATGATTTGCCTTCCCTTGCCATTGTGAACAAGTTTTAAGTATTACTAAAGTCTTCACGAGAAGTGAAACACTGAGCAATCCAGGTTTGTACTGAAAGTAAGGGTGAAATCTAAGTGCATACATCTTCTCATTTCACAAAGGAATATTTAAAAGACAAGAAAAGACTGCTAAAATTCAGTTGTTACAAAGATGTGTGCGATCTTTTAAACGCCTCTCAAGCAGCAATGTTTTTAAATTTCTCACGGGCAATTTTTTCCAGCCGAGAAAGGATATTTTTCTGTGCAGTTGAGTGAATGGTTAAACAGATGCACAGATCAAGGGTCAAACTTCTTCCATCCTGTTTGACATTTGCCCCACGTTGATTACGGAACTTTCGGTGCCATCACGTTTATGGTGAGATTTATTCGGATAAAAACCATTTCATAGGTGAAAAAACCTTCACATAAAGAGTCTTGAATCGCTTAAGTTTCTATTCTCATGTTGATTTAAAATTCAAAACGAATAGTCACCAATTTTAAACGAATTATTTGGGTTCTCAAAGGTCTATTCGTTTCAGACCGTGTCACGAAACAAGAGAATCTATGATAAATCAATAATAAACATAATTAAATCAAATTTCTTTCCTTAGTTATCGAAATCGGTAACGCCAGAATGCAGCCAGCTCTCCATAGCAAGTATACTTGCTATACACTACAAGACCTCTATTTGTCCTTGCCATGTAGCTTAATATCAGATTGTTCCTCACTCGGGTATAATTTTGTAATCGGCGTTTTATTAAGTATAGTTGTGGTTATGTAAAGTAAACAAAGCCTTCGACGCCGAATATGTTTTGGTCGATGCGCTTCACTAGGAGGGAGCAAAGCTATAATTGTGTTGTTTTTAGGTAGGAAACTACGTACTCCATTGCGTTTAACATTTCTGGAAAACGTTTTGTTAACTTGAATGTGCAACGAGATGTATCTTAGTGTGATATCTACATTTTGTGACTTTTGTGACTTTTTGTGAATTTTTGTTAGGGTCACTAAGTAACGCGAGTGAATTAAAATACTACTGGCCCTACTCAAATTCAACTTATTTACGAATATTCTACGTTAGAATTTGAAACTCGTTCCCAGACAGGTATCATCAAGAGAGTATCGTTTAAAGAGCTCTTGCGGTGTGCAGTCTCCTAAAAAAAAGAAACCTTCTTACCTTCTTAACGAAAGGAAGGAACATTTGGTTCTCAGTCATAAAACGAGTGATTATGGCTGTAAATACAAAATACGGTAAAGGGTAACATCAAATAGGGAAAATTAGTTTGAACTGATCTAGAGATCATTTATGCAACCCGAGGCCTATTAGTCTCAATTTAAACACACAAAAATCAAGAGCAGCAAAAAAACAGGAAGTCATTCCAGGGATTGTTCTAAAAAAGGTCTTTAACCGAGTGAAACAAAGCGAAGAGATAGGCGCTGACCACGAAAAGGAACTAAACACTTCAACACTGGAACAAATGATGCAATGACACATGTAAGAAAATTATTCACTTAACTTTAGGGCCACAAGGAATTTGCATTGTTATTGAATATTACGAAGATATGATTACAGTTTTAACGAAAGTAGAAGATTATAAGCTAACTTACGAATTCCAAACGTTCTCTCGGTATAAACTACCAAGAGATTTGTTACATTCATCCTGAGCTGAAGCACTTGGTCGTTGCACGATGTGTTTGCGATGTAATGCGTTTTTGCCTGAAGCAAAACTCAATAAACTGTTTCTTATGTCAAAATCTCTCATACAGATCACTTAAATCAAAAGAACCGGATGTCATCAAAATTGGAACGTAAAAGTTCCCCCATTAAAAACTTTTAGATGACTTGTTAGATATTGACTTGCGGATTTTTGAGCTGAAAATGTTGAGCTCCCTCTGCAGAGATTTCGCAAATTTCCTAGATGTAGAGCCGAAACGATATCTCTCGCATCAACTCATTTCACTAAGAAAAACATTTGAGAGACGAAGGGAATGAAATACAGCGAAATTCTTGGTTAGTCACTTAGATGTGTGCGGTGATTGAAACGCGTTTCAAGCAGCAATTGTTTTCTAATTGGTTGTTTTTCGGTCCAAACAAAGGATTTTACAGTCAATGGCTTATCAATGACTTGTTCAGCGAAAGTATAGATACCGAGTCAAGGGTCAAACGTGTTCCATCCTGTTTTATATTTGCTCCGCGTTGATCACAAACCTCTTGGTGTCATTGAGTGTCTGGTTAGATCTATATGAATAAAAACTATCCTTTGATTAAAAAAGACGTTCAGACAATGTCGCTTAAACCTGTTTTAGTTTGTTTTCTCACGTTCATTTAAGTTTTTGCAACTCAAAACAAATAATCGACAATTTTAAACGCAATTATTTGGGTTGTCAAAGGTTAGTTTGTTCCACACGATAAGCTTGTTCCAGGTCTCCATGGCAACTAGCTATTCATCCGAAGACCTCCTGTTGTCATACATGTCTTAAGTGGTCTTTTGTTATGTATTATTATAAGTGTTTTCTTTGCGATCATGTCTAGCCATTGCTTATTTTCATCTAAGGCCTTCCATGACTTAGCCACGCATTTTGGAGTAAATTCATCTTCACTAGGCCGATATGGTGGATTCAGTGGTAATGATGGTTTTTAAATCCACTGCTATGATGCTTTTCAACAAAGGTAAAAAACGCGCTTTGGCAAAGCTGCAACATTCTGGAGATGCAATCGGCCAAAGCATTTGTAGCTTGATTGCCGGTGAGCTTGATGAAATCAAGTCGGAACTGAGCGCAGCGAGAGCAGCCCCTCTTAAAACAAGTATTGACTTGTACAAGGAAGGACTCACATCCATTTCTTTCGATTCTGCTGAACCACCGCTGAAAAGAATGAGAGTGGACCAATTGGACGGCAGTGCGGTACCAACCTTCTATAAAGTAAAGGTTGAGATGAGCGATTTAACCAAAAAGAGGTTTGCTGATGCGCGCCTTGCAGCAGGGGAAGCCCTCGGAAATGCAAAGTTGGAGATAAAGGAGATAATTTTAGCTTTCTATGTTAAAATTATGGCTACGTTCCTGGAAGACGCCGACACCGATCCAGCGAGAGCTATTTTGTTTTGTAAGAACTACTTAGAAAAACTGAATTCCTTGCCAAAGATCTCTAATGAATTCCACCAAGGATTGGTTGGTTCGCCTTGGCAGAGGGCGGCATCATTCACATCAAAACGTGTGGAAGTCATTTGGTCTGTCTGCCATCTGAATCGCATCGTTTTCGACGTTGCACAGTTTTCCGGAGCGGACAGTGTCCTTCAAGAACTCTTCGTCTGGCCGTGTATCTCAATTAGAAGTAGTGGGTCTAACACAAAGGAAGTTGATCCACTGCGTGATCCTCGGTTAGACAAGCTTTTAAAATCAGAGGATAAGGAACTCTGTTCGGTGATGCTGTCGTTTGGCGACAACAACACTCACAAGCTAACTCTTCCTTGCAGTGTGGCATCAAATCCACAAGATCAGTATTTGGTGGTAAATTACAACACGACCGATAAGTTCAGCAGCCATGGAAAATTTCTCGACTCTCTTACCGTACCGACTGAAGGCCGTGCAGTGGATGTAGCCACGGACAAGGATGGTAGGGTTTACTTGCTGGTGACCAAGAAGCAGGATTCTGAAGGAGGCAACGTGGATCAAAATTATGAAGTGTTCTTATATGATAACGACGGCAAACATCCTTCCGGTAGTTTCCCCCTGAGAAGCAAGTCTAAAGGACTCAAACTGGCCGTGAACCAACACTCTGACAAGATTGAACTGCTTGTTTTAGAGGGGAAAAGGGGTCAAAAGCTACATGCTAGAGTGGAAGTCTACGAGGCCAATGGTACTTTCCTCTCTCAGTTTGGAGAAAGGATTCTACAGGATGCGCAAGACATCGTTAGCGGTAACGATGGCCATGTTTTCGTTTTGGATAAATGCCACGAGTCAGAAAAGAAATTTATTCGCGAGTTCGGTGTGGATGGATGTCAACTCCGACGGTATAGCGTGGGCTCTGACTCGCTTGCCATAGCATTTTGTCGTCCAAGTAAAAGCGTCATCGTTGTCTCAGCTTCCAACCCAAATTGTTTCGAGGTGGCCATACACCAAGTGGCAGACGGAAAACATAACAATCGCGATCTTCAGCTACTGCGCAAACTGAAGGTCGAAATAACAGGAATCCTTTTGGAGCTACACGCTACAGTAACCCAAAAGGGACGCATAGCTATTGTCATAGCAAAGAACTCAGATTGCGGTAAACCGCAAGGAGAGCTCATCATTTATTAAGGCCATAGAGGGAGGTGTGTATAAATGGAATTGAACATTCATGCCCTATAATTTGAAAGTGTTCACGATAAAGTTTGGTGGTAGCTTAAAATGAGACACTTTGAGTGCATTGTACATACATATTTCTTTTTAAGGAAAATCAGTTCGCGGGTGGTAGGGCTTTTATGAACTAGGACAATGCTGCGTGTGTTTTCAGGTTAATTAAAGTAAGTAGTTACTGTGTTTCGAAGCATTTCGATCTCCTTGTTACAAAACTCAGAGCGCGAAACGCTAAGTGTCTTGCTCTTTTGACGGAAGAATTGTCCGTTTAACATAAGAAAAAAATTGGTCAGAAGTCATGAAAGGGGTGACTTTCAGAGACGAAAAGTTAGTCTTACGTAAATGCTTAATATTTCATACTTCATTGTACAGATAACATGTAGGAGCCCATACGCAAAGTCTCTTACTCCTTTAAATAAAGAACCATTCGGTCACAGAAAAAAATTATTTTAGCACGAAAGGGGTGATTATGGCCGTAAATTTCAAAGACCATAAAAAGGTATAATTACTGAAAAGGGAAAATGTTCGGGACCTGATTTGGTGCACGTTTTGAAAGCTAATTAACCGAACACGTTCCGATCTACACAAATTTTTTTTTGTCTCAAGTTAGCCCTTTCACTCCCAAGATCGCATTAGTAATTCTCCTTACTGTCTGCCAAATGATTCTCATGATGTTCAATTAGTAACCCCACAATTGATGTTTTTCTTTATTCTCATCACTTGTCTGCATGATATTGTATAGATATAGTGAGGAGAAATTCTGTCTTGGTCACCGGCTCACGGGAGTTAAAGGGTTCAACTAAAAAGGATTAAGAGCTCTAAGAAAACAGGAACTCAGTGCAGGGATAGCTCTAAGTAAGGTCTTTTTTCAGTGAAAGAAAGAATAGAGTACAGAGGAACTAACACTTTAACACAGAAAAAAAATCCACCATGACACTGGTGATGCAATCATGTTAATGTACGGGTCACGATAAATGTGCATTTTTGTCAGGCATTTTTGATGATAATTGTAATAATTACAATTATAATGACTTACAAATTGCACGAGGTCTGTAAAAAATACTAATGGATATGCATGTTATCTTCATTCAATACAATACTCATTGGAAATACTTTGTCGTTACTCACTAGTCAATTGAAGTCTAAGGGACTGCCTTCATAAAATACGAGATGTGTTCTTGTACTTACTTTTGTACAAAACCTAATAACAGTGCCATACAATGTTACACTGTGCCCCAACGAGAGGTAAATTGAAGAAATAACTAACCAAAAAACTAAAATTTAACCGAAAAACTGCATTTGTGGTAGTTAAAATTGGGTATAATTTGAGATGAGTGTCCCTAGTCAATCATCTTTTTATCTTAACTTGTTAGCCAAGTAAACCGTTTTTACCTTTTTCAACTTTTCCATCCGGAAACAAAGAAACATTTTCCGCTAAGATGCAGATTTTTCGGTTATAAATTATAGACTATCTTTCCAAAGGTTCCTCAAATTATTTTGGGGGGGAGAGGCCATCTTTCTATTTACCTATAACTGATATGTTTCTTTCTTGCCTTTCAATCGAAATTTTGTATTTTTTTCTGACAAAAAATATGAAATTCTTCAGCGTAAAAGTGATAAAATAACTAAAACAAATTAGATAAATCTATCTGTCAAGATATTTACTTTTCCGTTTCAATTCTAGCTACGGCTTTTCTTCTGGGTTCTTGAGCCGGAAACATTTCCCTGTACCGCTACCCAAGGATTGCAAGGACTTTCTATGGAAATTCGAGGGTACTTTTCCCTAAAGGCTTCGTAAGGGAATATGTAGTGCCATTTATCGCCGCCTTTCCACTCGCCAACTTTTTAATCTGAGAGAAGTGACAAATGATAGGTTTTCAACAAACGTTTGTGCAACGGTGAAACCATTCGTAGCCTATTGTGGCGCGATTTCAACTTTCTAGGAGTTTTAAAAGAACTCTTTATATACGAGTCAGAACCACCTGAATCATTATAAGAATTAAGGTGGCTCTGACACGTATGTGTAATTTTGTGATAAAAAGAGGATCACATTATTTTTCAGAGAAAAAATGATCACAACTTATGAACCCAGGGCCGTAGTTAGCACGAGGCGAGACGAGGCAATTGCCATTCCATTCCTTAGGTGAAAAATCTTCACATAAAGAGTCTTGGATCGCTTAGGTTTGTTTTCTCGTGTTGATTTAATTTTGGCACGTGAAACGAATACTCACCAATTTTAAATGAATTATTTGGGTTGTCAAATGTCTATTTGATTCAGACTGTTTCACAAAATAAGAGAATCTATGATATGCACATAGCAAACGTGATTAAATCAAAGTTTTTTCTTAGTTATAGAAATCGGCAACGCCAAAATGCAGCCAACTCTCCATAGCAAGTTGCTATTCACTTCAAGACCTCTTAATATCAGGTTGTTCCAAACACGGGTGAGTTTTTTTTAATTGGCATTTTGTTTTGTATAGTTGTGAGTGTTGCGGTCATGTTAAGTTAACAAGGCCTTCGACGCTGAGTAGGCCTCACATGTTTGAGTCGATGCACTTTACTAGGAGGGAGCAAAGCTATAATTGTGTTATTTTTAGGTAGGAAACTACGTACTCCAACATATTTGGAGGGAGTTTTATGAACTTGAAAGTGTAACGAGATGTATCTTAGTGTGATAACTACATTTTGTGACTTGTGAAGATAACCTTTGGTTAAGTAAAATGGTAACACGAGTGAATTAAAATACTACTGGTCCTCCTCAAATTCAACTTATTTAAGAATATTCTACGTTAGAATTTGAAACTCGTTCCCAGACAGGTATCAGCAAGAGAGTATCGTTTCAAGAGCTCTTCCGGTGTGCAGTCTCCTAAAAAACGAACCCTTCTTTTAGCGAAAAGAAGGAACATTTGGTTCTCAGTCATAAAACGAGTGATTATGGCTGTAAATACAAAATACGGTAAAGGGTAACATCAAATAGGGAAAATTAGTTTGAACTGATTTAGTGCACGTTTTGAAACGTAGAAAACCGGAACACATTCCAATCTAGAGATCATTTATGCAACCCGAGGCCTATAAGTCTCAATTTAAACACACAAAAATCAAGAGCAACAGAAAAACAGGAAGTCATTCCAGGGATTGTTCAAAAAAAAGTCTTTCACCAGTGAAACAAAGAGAAGAGATAGGCGCTTAAAAACTTCAACACTGGAACAAAAGATGCGATGACACAGCTAAGAAAATTATTCACTTAACTTTGGGGGTCACGAGAATTTGCAGAGTTCTTGAATGTTACGAAGATATGATTGCAATTTCACGAAAGTAGAAAATTATCAGCTAACATACGAATTCCAAAAGTTCTCTCGGTATAAACTACCAAGAGATTCGTTACATTCATCCTGAGCTGAAGCACTTGGTCGTTGCTCGATGTGTATGTGACGTATTGTGTTTTTTGCCTGTAGCAAAACTCAATAAACTTTTTCTTGTGTCGCAATGTCTCATACAGATCACTTAAATCAAAAGAACCGGGTGTCATCAAAATTGGAACGTAAAAGTTCCCCACTGAAAACTTTTAGATGACTTGTCAGATATTGTCTTGCGGATGTCTGAGTTGAAAATTTTGAGCTCTCTTTGCAGAGATTTCGCAAATTTCCTGGATGTAGAGCCGAAACGATATCTCTCGCATCAACTCATTTCACTAAGAAAAACATTTGAGAGACGAAGGGAGTGAAATACAGCGAAATTCTTGGTTAGTCACTTAGATGCGTGCGGTGATTGAAACGCGTTTCAAGCAGCAATTGTTTTCTAATTGGTTGTTTTTCGGTCCAAACAAAGGATTTTACACCGTTGGGCTCAATGACTTGTTCAGCGAAAGTATAGATACCGAGTCAAGGGTCAAACGTGTTCCATCCTGTTTTATATTTGCTCCGCGTTGATCACAAACCTCTTGGTGCTATTGAGTGTCTGGTTAGATTTATATGAGTAAAAACTATTCTTTGATTAAAAAAGACGTTCAGACAATGTCGCTTAAACCTGTTTTAGTTTGTTTTCTCACGTTCATTTAAGTTTTTGCAACTCACAACAAATAATCGACAATTTTAAACGCAATTATTTGGGTTGTCAAAGGTTAGTTTGTTCCACATAGCCTGCAGAGCAGGCGTAATTTTGGCTAGCGAGTGCGAAGTAATTTCATAACGAATATTATGGCCGCCATCTTTGATTTTAATGACAGCGGAAGGCTGGGGAGAGTGAAAATTTATACCAAGGGGGCGCTCGACGGTCAAAAATAAGGAGAGGGGTGGGGGTAGGGGTGTGGAGATTACTTCTACAAGTAGGAGCCCCTACGCAAAGTCTCTTACTCCCTTAAAAAAAGAACCGTCAGTCACAAAAAAATTTATTGTACCATGAAAGGGGTAATTATGGCCGTAAATTTCAAAGACCATAAAAAGGTATAATTACTGAAAAGGGAAAATATTCGGAACCTGATGTGGTGCACGTTTTGAAAGCTAACTCACCGGAACGCGCTTCGATCTACAGAAAATTTTTTTTGTCTCAAGTTAACCCTTTCACTCCCAAGATCGCAATTAGTAATTCTCCTTACTGTCTGCCAAATGATTCTAATGATGTTCAATTAGTAACCCCATAATTGATGTTTTTCTTTATTCTCATCACTTGTATGCATGATATTGTATAAACATAGTGAGGAGAAATTCAGTCTTGGTCACTCACGGGAGTTAAAGGGTTAAACTAAGAAGAATTAAGAGCTCTAAGAAAACAGGAACTCATTGCAAGGATAGCTCCAAGTAAGGTCTTTTTTCAGTGAAAGAAAGAATAGAGTACAGAGGAACTAAACACTTCAATAAGAAACAAAATCCACCATGACACTTGTGATACAGTTATTTACGAGTCACGACAAATGTGCATTTTTGTCAGGTTTGTTACGTGATAATTATAATAATTATAATTATATCATAATTATAATCATAGTGATAATTATAATAATTATAATTATATCATAATTATAATCATAGTGATAATTATAATTTCACTGAAGTAGAAGATTAAAGCATAACTTACAAATTACACAGTCTGGAAAAAAATACTACCAGATATGCATGTTATCTTCATTCAATACAATACTCGTTGGAAATACGTTGTCGTTACTCGCTAATCAATTTAAGTCTAAGGGACTGCCTTCATAAGTTAAAATACGAGATTTTTTTTGTACTTGTAGCAAAACTTAATAACGATGCCACAAAATGTTACACTGTGCCCCAACGAGAGGTAAATTGAAGAAATAACTAACAGTGAAATTTGCACGTAGAACTCTCACAACCGAAAAATTGCATCTGTGGTAGTTAAAATCGGGTATAACTTGGCGTCCCTAATCGATTAGCTTCTACCATCTTTTTATCTTAACTTGTTAGTCAAGTAAACCATTTTTATCTTTTTCAACTTTTCCATCAAGAAACAAAGAAATATTTTCTGATCAGATGCAGATTTTTCGGTTATAAATTATGGACTATATTTCCAGAGGTTCCGCAAATTATTTGGGGGGAGAGACCATTTTTCTATTTACATTTTAACTGATGTGGATCTTTTTTTAACCTTTCGGTCGAAATTTTGTATTGTTTTCTCTGACGGAATAATATGAAATTTTTCAGCGTAAAAGTGATAAAATATGTAAAACAAAATAGGTTAATCTATCTGTTAAGATATTTACTTTTCCTCTGCCTGAACATCGCCTCTTTGTGGTGACGCTTGTTAGACTTAATTTTCTGCGGAATCGGTCGAGAAATACTTCAAGCCACGGCTTTTCTTCTGGGTTCTTGAGTCGAGAACATTTTCCTGTACCGCTACCCAAGGATCGCGAGGACATCCTGTGGAAATACGAGGGTACTTTTTCCTAAAGACATCGTAAGGCAATATGTAGTGCCATTTATCGCCGCTTTCGCCAACTTTGTAACCTGAGAGAAGTGACAAATGACAAGTTGTCAACAAACGTTTGTGCAACGGTGAAACCATTTGTAGCCTATTGCGGCGCGATTTCAACTTTCTAGGAGTTTTAAAAGAACTCTTGATATACGAGTCAGAACCACCTGAATCATTATAAGAATTAAGGTGGCTCTGACCCGTATGTGTAATTTTGTGATAAAAAGAGGATCACATTATTTGTCAAAGAAAAAATGATCACAACTTATGAACCCAGGGCCGTAGTTAGCATGAGGCAAGACGAGGCAATTGCCATTCCATTCCTTAGGTGAAAAACCTTCACATAAAGAGTCTTGGATCGCTTAGGTTTGTTTTCTCATGTTGATTTAATTTTGGCACGTGAAACGAATACTCACCAATTTCAAATGAATTATTTGGGTTGTCAAACGTCTATTAAACTCTTTACATACGGGTCAGAACCACCTGAATCATTATAAGAATTAAGGTGGCTCTGACCGGTATGTGTAATTTTGTGATGGAAAGAGGATCACATTATTTGTCAAAGAAAAAATGATCACAACTCAAGAACTTATTTTAAGCATTTTTTAATACTATTTCTCAGGTAACAAACGAAAAAAAGATAGGTTTTACCATTCATTACACATTTCTTTGTCAGAAATTCTTAAAGCATTTTGAGGCACCTTTGGGCCAGGATGTACTTAGAGATAATTTGGTTCGTCTGACATGAGCAGTTTTTGCAAATGTTTTTGCCTCTGTGACAGGATTTTGTTTAAGAACAAGGCGTGTCCAGAGAACTTTAAAATGAATGAAGTAAAAAGGGTGAATGCTTCTTTCAGCTTCAGAGAAATCAAACTGAAAACGGTATACCAAGAGATTTTAATTTTCCCTGCTTGTCACTCGAAATAGCTTGACGACAAGTTAGCCGGTTATGTCCCTCATAAAAAACACACCAAAAAGCAATTTAAAGCACTTCGTTTAAGAGTTAACTATTTCCTTACCTTCAAACATTTCCTCCACTTTTTTCTTTCCTATATTTTCTGGAATTCCATCTTTATAAAGAGTAACTTTTTCATGATCTTTTTTACCGTGTTTAGTCACTCTCGGAACTTCGTCGAGATCAGGGTCTTTTCCAAGACCTTTCATCCCTTCTTCAAACGCCTTCTCCCCGTTCATACGTTTTTTAAACGTCATCTGCGCGCTCAGGGCCTCTCTTCTTTCATACCAATAGAGATCTGCAGAAGAAAAGGAAGTATATCAGTTTTCTTGGAAATAGAGCTTGTCAATTTTTTACACAGAAGCAACTTACTTTCCATGAGGAGATTGTCTTTAAGGTAACAACGCTTCCAGATTATCATTACAGTTCCGATAGCAACAAGCGTGATCAGTATGACCCATGCCCATAAATGTGATTGGCTCTTACTCTCGTCTACCATCCGCTTCCGGTCCAAAACGACGTTTTCGTGTTGCTTCATCTCTTTCTGTGGAGAGGGGCCAATCGTGGCACACAGATAAAAATCTTCTTCGAGAAAGGCGACAATCAACCACACTGCCGGTCCGACACAGGCTTTTAGGATACTTGGTAAAACCCCAGCGATAAAATCGCCACGTCTTCTGTAGCGTTTCACGTGCATCCGGGAAGACAGCTTCCATACCTCACCGATGACCAAGAGGTTTATGCAGAACAGGATTAGAACAGGGCCGAATAGGAACGCGAATCCATACCGTCGATAGCCATTGTCAGGACAGTGGAATACTCCGGCGTTCAAAAGTCTTTCCAGACCGTAGGTTGAAGCAGCGACAACAAAGTTCCTGAGAGTTATAGTATTGTTTTGAATCACTGGGTTGAAAGTCTTTTTAAAACTTTCGAGCTTGAAGTAGTTCTTCAAAAAATTTAGGCTACTCTGTGTATCATTTTCTCTCTTCCGTTCACTTTCTCCTTCGCTTTCCCCAGCTTCCAAATCTTTTGAAGTTTCAATTGTATCTTTTACCTGAGTGTTAACAGCAGCCATAAATTCATTTATCACAGCTAATTTTGTGATTTCCCTTGCAAAATGCTGAGCCGAAAACGTTCGAACTCTTTAACTTCGATCGATAGAATGATCTGCCGTATTTTATTTACCTAATATCCGCCTCGATCCTTTTATTTACCTTGTATCCGCCTCGATCCTCATGCGTTTTGTCACAATTGAACTGATTTGATGCACTTTTTGAAACGTAGAAAACCGGAACACATTCCAATCTAGAGATCATTTATGCAACCCGAGGCCTATTAGTCTACATTTAAACACACAAAAATCAAGAGCAGCAGAAAAACAGGAAGTCATTCCAGGGATTGTTCTAAAAAAAGTCTTTCACCAGTGAAACAAAGAGAAGAGATAGGCGCTGACCACGAAAAAGAATTAAAAACTTCAACACTGGAACAAAAGATGCGATGACACAGGTAAGAAAATTATTCACTTAACTTTGGGGGTCACGAGAAATTTGCGGAGTTCTTGAATTTTACGAAGATATGATTACAATTTCACGAAAGTAGAAAATTATAAGCTAACATACGAATTCCAAAAGTTCTCTCGGTATAAACTACCAAGAGATTTGTTACATTCATCCTGAGCTGAAGGACTTAGTCGTTGCTCGATGTGTATGTGACGTAATGTGTTTTTTGCCTGTAGCAAAACTTAATAAACTTTTTCTTGTGTCGCAATGTCTCATACAGATCACTAAAATCAGAAGAACCGGGTGTCATCAAAATTGGAACGTAAAAGTTCCCCATTGAAAACTTTTAGATGACTTGTCAGATATTGTCTCGCGGATGTCTGAGTTGAAAATGTTGAGCTCCCTTTCCAGAGATTTCGCAAATTTCCTGGATGTAGAGCCGAAACGATATCTCTCGCATCAACTCCTTTCATTAAGAATAACATTTGAGAGACGAAGGGAGTGAAATACAACGAAATTCTTGGTTAGTCACTTAGATGCGTGCGGTGATTGAAACGCGTTTCAAGCAGCAATTGTTTTCTAATTGGTTGTTTTTCGGTCCAAACAAAGGATTTTACACCGTTGGGCTCAATGACTTGTTAAGCAAAAGTATAGATACCGAGTCAAGGGTCAAACGTGTTCCATCCTGTTTTATATTTGCTCCGCGTTGATCACAAACCTCTTGGTGTCATTGAGTGTCTAGTAAGATTTATATGAATAAAAACTATCCTTTGATTAAAAAAGACCTTCAGACAATGTCGCTTAAACCTGTTTTAGTTTGTTTTCTCACGTTAATTTAAGTTTTTGCAACTCAAAACAAATAATCGACAATTTTAAACGCAATTATTCGGGTTGTCAAAGGTTAGTTTGTTCCACATAGCCTGCAGAGCAGGCGTAATTTTGGCTAGCGAGTGCGAAGTAATTTCATAACGAATATTATGGCCGCCATCTTTGATTTTAATGGCAGCAGAAGGCTGGGGAGAGTGAAAATTTATACCAAGGGGGTGCTCGACGGTCAAAAATAAGGAGAGGGGTGGGGGTAGGGGTGTGGAGATTACTTCTACATGTAGGAGCCCCTACGCAAAGTCTCTTACTCCCTTAAAAAAAGAACCGTCAGTCACAAAAAAATTTATTGTACCATGAAAGGGGTGATTATGGCCGTAAATTTCAAAGACCATAAAAAGGTATAATTACCGAAAAGGGACAATGTTCGGAACCTGATGTGGTGCACGTTTTGAAAGCTAACTCACCGGAACGCGCTGCGATCTTCAGAAAATTCTTTTTGTCTCAAGTTAGCCCTTTCACTCCCAAGATCGCAATTAGTAATTCTCCTTACTGTCTGCCAAATGATTCTCATGATGTTCAATTAGTAACCCCATAATTGATGTTTTTCTTTATTCTCATCACTTGTATGCATGATATTGTATAGATACAGTAAGGAGAAATTCAGTCTTGGTCACTCACGGGAGTTAAAGGGTTAAACTAAGAAGAATTAAGAGCTCTAAGAAAACAGGAACTCATTGCAAGGATAGCTCCAAGTAAGGTCTTTTTTCAGTGAAAGAAAGAATAGAGTACAGAGGAACTAAACACTTCAATAAGAAACAAAATCCACCATGACACTTGTGATACAATTATTTACGAGTCACGACAAATGCATTTTTGCATTTTTGTCAGGTTTGTTACGTGATAATTATATCATAATTATAATTATATCATAATTATAATCATAGTGATAATTATAATAATTATAATTATATCATAATTATAATCATAGTGATAATTATAATTTCACTGAAGTAGAAGATTAAAGCATAACTTACAAATTGCACAAAGTCTGGAAAAAAATACTACCAGATATGCATGTTATCTTCATTCAATACAATACTCGTTGGAAATACGTTGTCGTTACTCGCTAATCAATTTAAGTCTAAGGGACTGCCTTCATAAGTTAAAATATTTTTTTTTTTTTTGTACTTGTAGCAAAACTTAATAACGATGCCACAAAATGTTACACTGTGCCCCAACGAGAGGTAAATTGAAGAAATAACTAACAGTGAAATTTGCACGTAGAACTCTCACAACCGAAAAATTGCATCTGTGGTAGTTAAAATCGGGTATAACTTGGCGTCCCTAATCGATTAGCTTCTACCATCTTTTTATCTTAACTTGTTAGCCAAGTAAACCATTTTTATCTTTTTCAACTTTTCCATCAAGAAACAAAGAAAGATTTTCTGCTCAGATGCAGATTTTTCGGTTATAAATTATGGACTATATTTCCAGAGGTTCCGCAAATTATTTGGGGGGAGAGACCATTTTTCTATTTACATTTTAACTGATGTGGATCTTTTTTACCTTTCGGTCGAAATTTTGTATTGTTTTCTCCGACGGTAATATGAAATTTTTCAGCGTAAAAGTGATAAAATATGTAAAACAAAATAGGTTAATCTATCTGTTAAGATATTTACTTTTCCTTTGCCTGAACATCGCCTCTTTGTGACGCTTGTTAGACTTCATTTTCTGCGGAATCGGTCGAGAAATCCTTCAAGCCACGGCTTTTCTTCTGGGTTCTTGAGTCGAGAACATTTTCCTGTACCGCTACCCAAGGATCGCGAGGACATCCTGTGGAAATACGAGGGTAATTTTTCCTAAAGGCATCGTAAGGCGATTTGTAGTGCCATTTATCGCCGCTTTCGCCAATTTTGTAACCTGAGAGAAGTGACAAATGACAAGTTGTCAACAAACGTTTGTGCAACGGTGAAACCATTTGTAGCCTATTGCGGTGCGATTTCAACTTTCTAGGAGTTTTAAAAGAACTCTTTATATACGAGTCAGAACCACCTGAATCATTATAAGAATTAAGGTGGCTCTGACCCGTATGTGTAATTTTGTGATAAAAAGAGGATCACATTATTTGTCAAAGAAAAAATGATCACAACTTATGAACCCAGGGCCGTAGTTAGCATGAGGCGAGACGAGGATATTGCCATTCCATTCCTTAGGTGAAAAATCTTCACATAAAGAGTCTTGGATCGCTTAGGTTTGTTTTCTCGTGTTGATTTTATTTTGACACGTGAAACGAATACTCACCAATTTCAAATGAATTATTTGGGTTGTCAAACGTCTATTAAACTCTTTACATACGGGTCAGAACCACCTGAATCATTATAAGAATTAAGGTGGCTCTGACCGGTATGCGTAATTTTGTGATAGAAAGAGGATCACATTATTTGTCAAAGAAAAAAATGATCACAACTCAAGAACTTATTTTAAGCATTTTTTAATACTATTTCTCAGGTAACAAACGAAAAAAAGATAGGTTTTACCATTCATTACACATTTCTTTGTCGGAAAATTCTGAAAGCATTTTGAGGCACCTTTGGGCCAGGATATACTTAGAGATAATTTAGTTCGTCTGACATGAGCAGTTTTTGCAAATGTTTTTGCGGCCTCTGTGACAGGATTTTGTTTAAGAACAAGGCGTGTCCAGAGAACTTTAAAATGAATGAAGTAAAAAGGGTGAATGCTTCTTTCAGCTTCAGAGAAATCAAACTGAAAACGGTATACCAAGAGATTTTAATTTTTCCTGCTTGTCACTCGAAATAGCTTTGACGACAAGTTAGCCAAGTTAACTATTTCCTTACCTTTAAACATTTCCTCCACTTTTTTCTTTCCTATATTTTCTGGAATTCCATCTTTATAAAGAGTAACTTTTTCATGATCTTTTTTACCGTGTTTAGTCACTCTCGGAACTTCGTCGAGGTCAGGGTCTTTTCCAAGACCTTCTTCAAACGCCTTTTCCCCGTTCATACGTTTTTTAAACGTCATCTGCGCGCTCAGGGCCTCTCTTCTTTCATACCAATAGAGATCTGCAGAAGAAAAGGAAGTATATCAGTTTTCTTGGAAATAGAGCTTGTCAATTTTTTACACAGAAGTAACTTACTTTCCATGAGGAGATTGTCTTTAAGGTAACAACGCTTCCAGATTATCATTACAGTTCCGATAGCAACAAGCGTGATCAGTATGACCCATGCCCATAAATGTGATTGGCTCTTACACTCGTCCACCATCCGCTTCCGGTCCAAAACGACGTTTTCGTGTTGCTTCATCTCTTTCTGTGGAGAGGGGCCAATCGTGGCACACAGATAAAAATCTTCTTCGAGAAAGGCGACAATCAACCACACTGCCGGTCCGACACAAGCTTTTAAGATACTTGGTAAAACCCCAGCGGTAAAGTCGCCACGTCTTCTGTAGCGTTTCACGTGCATCCGGGAAGACAGCTTCCATACCTCGCCGATGACCAGGAGGTTTATGCAGAACAGGATTAGAACAGGGCCGAATAGGAACGCGAATCCATACCGTCGATAGCCATTGTCAGGACAGTGGAATACTCCGGCGTTCAAAAGTCTTTCCAGACCGTAGGTTGAAGCAGCGACAACAACGTTCCTGAGAGTTATAGTATTGTTTTGAATCACTGGGCTGAAAGTCTTTTTAAAACTTTCGAGCTTGAAATATTTCTTAAAAAAATTTAGGCCACTCTGTGTATCATTTTCTCTCTTCAGTTCATTTTCTCCTTCGCTTTCCCCAGCTTCCAAATCTTTTGAAGTTTCAATTGTATCTTTTACCTGAGCGTTTACAGCAGCCATTAATTCATTTATCACAGCTAATTTTGTGATTTCCCTTGCAAAATGCTGAGCCGAAAACGTTCGAACTCTTTAACTTCGATCGATAGAATGATCTGCCGTATTTTATTTACCTAATATCCGCCTCGATCCTTTTATTTACCTTGTATCCGCCTCGATCCTCATGCGTTTTGTCACATGATTTTTCTTTCAGTTTCTATGAAGCTTTATTTCGGGAAAAAAGATAATGTATCCTTTTTTAGTTTGACTTTAATGTGTACACCATATCCAGCGATTTGAAATTTCAGTTTCACTCATCACTCTTGTCAGATCACCAGACTGTTCAACAACCCACCACAATATCAAAAGTAAACACATTCCACTTTTTTGTTACGTCGTAACAATGATTGTGGGGATTCATAATTCTTCGTAGAGCAAGGAGGTTTCTTCGATTTGTGTGTGCACTTTTTACTTTTTACTGATATAAATTAGTGATCCGATTCCCCTTCAAAACCGCTGTAGGATTTGACGGTGATCTTGGCAGGGGTTATTGGTCAGTTCTAACATAAGAGTTCCGGACGTCTTAGTTGTTCTGTTGTGTTGATTTGCGTAAGCATGCGAGCTCCCGCAACTTCCGGCTTGAATTGAGAGCAGCGAAAGTAAAGGCATAGAAAGTGGATGCCTTCTTGATTATTTTTAGACTTTTAAAGTGATCAAATGGATCATGATTTATAAAGGCGTCTTTTTTTTTCAGGTAACGAAGAACCTGGATATTTATCTGCCTATTACTGAAAAATAAATAGCAATATGTGCTTTTTGATTACTTTAAAATATACGTTCGAGAATTTTTTCTTTAGGACATTTTGCTTTATTGATTTAAATATATTGATCAGTTAAAGTTGTTTCAAGTTTTGTTTTCCTTTTCAGTCAGATTTTGATTGCACTTGGATTCTCACGTTCTCTTGTAATTTTTAAAAACTTGGAAAACGAAATTTTAGAGCACATCCTAAGGGATCATAACAAATCATTTTGACGTTTAGTTTTTAAAAGCGTGACGAAAATTTTCAAATTAAACAGATTTCAGGCTGAGTTTCGAAACGTGACAATCTAAATGCGAAAAAATTACATCTGCATACGTTGTTATAGATAAAATAATATTTTTAATGTTTATATTTTCGTATTTACTCCCAGCGTCAAGTTTTTTTTTAACGCAGCATCAAAGTTTTTTTAAATTTTTTACAAATTAGATTTTTAAATGTCTCGTCAAAATTATTTCCAAACTTTTTTTTTCGGAATATTCAGTGCGTTATCACATTTTTCTTTTAGAACACGGCATAAAACCGGGAATATTTAAAAGATGGAAAATGGCAATATAACCTTAGTTTGCGGGTAATTTGCGTCCGTAAACTAGCCAGAAATGACTCCCAGCCAAATCGACCACGGGTTACCAGACAGCTGTATGTAGTACAGGAAATCTGTAAGAGACTGTTTTGTACAGGTTATTGTAGAGGTGTAAGCCTTGTATTGACGAGCCGGATCATTCACGGATTAAGATGACATAAATTTAAAATACTGATATCCTTGTTTGGTAATGGTAAAATGTGTTAGGGTAATTCCCTTGAAATTGTTCTACCATCAACTTCTTTTGAAACTTGGTATAATTAACATTCGTGATATAAACATTAAAAAAATGCAATAAAAAAATGGGTTACCGTGCTTGTTTACGCGTCAGCAGGCTCTCAAGATGGTGTATTTTTACTGGTTGCGCGTTAAAAATTCGAATCACCTTCATACAGAATTTAGCCTTGGTAACTTGAAGGACACAAAATTTTATTTTGAAATTAAAGCTTCTTTTATTAAGATAAAAAGTATTGCTTCATGTTACCTGTTTCTGATTGCCTGGTTGTGGGGATTTTGCACTTTCTCGGACAGTTCCTTGGTTAGCTTGAAGTCCTCGCCTTTGTCAAAATGATCCAAGTACGGAACTATTTTCCAAAAAAAATCATGTTCTATTATCAAAATTTTTCCCTATTCAAATATGTTCTTTATTAGACTGTTCTTAGCAAATACCTGAAAAAAAAGTCGGGTGTCACCGTGCTTGTTCCCTCACAAACTGCCGTGAAAGGTGGACATGGTTTTGAGATCGCAGTCAGGATGGAGAATTTGCGCGGTGAGGACTGGGACGAGACACAAAATGGCGCCCATCGTGTTCGAGACAAGCGACTAAATACAGGAATGGCTCCGACCTGTGATTGGATGATAAAAATAGTAAAAGTTAATAAGTTATATCTTAACTCCTTGCACGTGAGTATTGTTAACCGCGTGTACCGAAGCGGAACAATGAAATATCGATGCGAAAACACCGACGTGTCAAACAAGAAATGGCTACTTACATAGCGAAGATAAGGCAGAGTCTGTCTTCTTCAGCTAGGTCGTTCAGCGATATTCCGGCGATGAAAAAGTCATCCGCTGCCAATTTCCGCTGAAAAAACTAATTTAGTCTGTCTAGGCGGACGACCAGAGACTGGAGCCATTCCTGTATTTCACCGCTGACAGGAATGGCTCCAACTCATGCGTATATTAATTTTTTGGTTCTGGCTAAATAATTTATATACAGATAAAAAGTGAAAGAGCTATTTATTAGGGTCTTCTTATGTTGAAGTCTACAGTGCTTGCAAATGAAGCCCTCTTTTATTTCTACAGGGCCATGTAGTTTCTAAGTTTTAAAATAATGCAGCAACTGCATACCATGTTTGAAAGATCACGCAAGGTTGCGTGACGCTGCCACCGATGTTTTTAATTTACAGTACGCTCTACTGGAGAAGTATGGCTTGCCCGCAATCGAGGGAATTTTTTTCGTGGAAACGGATTTTCTAGGTAATTGTTCACATGAAGGACAAACCCATTCATCGGGTTCTTGATCTATTTTATATTTATAACACTTAAATTTAAGAAAGAATGAGTGGACCATAAACTACATTTTCTGTACGTGCCATCCTAACCTAATTTGCCAACTGCTTTCCAGGCATCATCTGTAAAAAACCTCTTCAATTTTTCAAATTTGAAAATTTTCAGCTAAAACCGCGGCTCCCAAAAAATATTTCTCATCTTGCCTAATAAATTTTCAAAAGAAATTTTCAAATTTTCACAACTTTGCCTATTCCTGTTCGTAGGTCCAGGTAAGCCCTTATGGTCACTGGTCATAGCTGCTAACAATGGTTTCTAACTATACGCGTTTAGTGTTACCTCGTAAAACTCCCCGAAGAAGTTACGAGAGTTAGACGAAACGCGTCAGAGAATAAAGAAGTTTTACAACTACTGTTCGTACAGCACTGCTCACCATTTTAGTTTTAAATTAAAAAAAAATTTTTTTTTTAAATTACTAAAAAGTTATTGAAAAAAAATTAATAAACGTTTGAGTCGGAGCTATTCCTGTCAGCGGTGAAATACAGGAATGGCTCCAGTCTCTGGTCGTCCGCCTGAACTGACCAAATGAGTTTTGTCAGCGGAGCTTGTTAGCCGATGACTTTTTCATCGCTGGAATATCGCTGAACGACCTCGCTGAATAAGAAAGGCTGCCTTCCCTTCGCTACGTAAGTAATCATTTCTTTTTTTACAGATCGGTGTTTTCACTCGCATTGATATTTCATTGTTCCGCTTTGAGACACGCGGTTAACAATTCGCTTGTGTGTTCGAGGTATGCACTCGATATCAAGCTTTCTTTCGGTTGTTTTTATGTGTTTGATCTTGCTAACACTGAAATTCATACTTGGGAAGAGTGAAAAAATAATAAAGAATGAGGTAAGTCAAGACTTGATGAGATTTTGAAGTTATGAACCTTTAGTTGAAACAATTTTGTTGCGCTGGCGTTTTGTTAATTCCAGTGAGCGAAGGTTCGATTTTGTTTGCTTTAGGGCAATAAAGGCTCGACAAAGAAACTTGAAGAAAAGACTGTTGATTCCTATTCTTTTTATGTCTTCTTGTTTGGTTTCTACGCACAGCAAAATGTGAATTCTTCTCCCATCACTCTAACAGGAGTGATATATACAGTACAATGTAGTATACTCTGAAAAATACAAATTGTGCTTTTAAAATTTGCTTTTTATACTTCAGAACCACACTTCAATGTCTCACTGGTCCTCATTGTGACTACTACATTTCCCATGCAAAAATGATTTTCAAACTTTTTACATTTTGTTCGACTTTCATGCTTCAACATGTCACTAAATTAAGTTGATCCTCTTGGTCGTTGGTTCCACAGAATCGAATTGAATTTAATATTAATATAGACCCTTTTAGAATTACTTTTTGCATTCTTGTTTGCAATCAAACCAACAGAGTAAATATTAGTTTTACAAAACATTAATTGCACAAATCGCAATCTTAATTTGCTTTATTTATAAAGTACTGACATATTTGTGCCAGCACCTGCTTGTTTGAGGAGACTCTGGGTTTGTTGTCAAACCTCTCCATCAGAACTTGATTCACCCCTTCTTCCTTGCCTCTTTGGTACACCACTTGTAGGTGATGGAAACCCAAACCTGAGCTTGCACACTTAATGGCCATAGAAGCTGAAATGTACTTCTCTCTAACTAATGGCTGCAGGGTATTAACCAGAAGTTTCTTTTCTTTTAGGAGCTTCTGATAGGATGCCACCCATGAAACTTTGAAGCTGTGCTTTTGTAGCAGTTTGACATTTAGAAACTTGTTCACCAGCTGGTAGTGTTTGCACATCTGCAAGAGCATTGTGAGCTTCATAGGATTTACGCAGAAGATCTTGTGCAAGGTTTTCCTGGCTATGGGATTTCCTTTCAGGAAGCAATTCCCTGAATACTGGAAGAGAGTCTGCAAAGCCAGAAACGGTTTTAGCTAAGTCATCCATGACTCCATTTTTCTCTGCTGCTTGCACCAAGAACCCTGCATCAAAGGATTTGCAATTGTGTGCGACTAAAATGCAAGGCATTCTTGATTTAAACCACTCAATGAAGTTCTTCAGGGCCACATCAATTGCAATGGCATCAGAG